TACAAAATACTTTAAAAAAATATCCTTAACAATTGGTTTCAAACTCTATATATAAGACTGAAAACTCAATCTGAAATTTTATTTCATCAAACTCTGAACGTTCCAACTCAGCTTTGCTCAACTCTGAATGTTCAGAGTTGGAACGTTCAGAGTTTGATGATTTACTGTGATAGCCAAGCTACACGTTTCGAGTTTGATGATTCAATGTGATAGCCAAGTTGTGTAACAGTTGGTTTCCAACTGAAATGACAGATAATAAAGAAGCTGCTGTGAGACTCTTTAGCCTACCAAATACTTAAATAAATATCCTTAACAACTAATTAAAATAACTAAAAAATAAATAGATACGTAAGAAATTATTTTAGAATCGGTAAACGGTCGTATTTGTCCAAGAATGCTAATGCGAGCTCATCCTCATCAATTACTCTTACTATTAAAAGCCGATTAAAGATAATTGTGTCATTTTGAGCGAAATAACTGTTATTTTATACATCCACAAAAAAAATATGACTACTTTTTATCTTTTTAAAAGCTAAATGACCATTTAGTGATATTACTACTTGACGAAATTGAAAAATACTAAGCTATTAGAATGTTTATAGATTAAATTAACATAAATGCATATAGTCCAGTGTTTATCAAAGAAAAAGAGACAAATATTATATGATCCTTAGTTACACGTGCTTTCAAATACATACTTAAATTTAGAATTATTGAGTTTATTGGTGTTATAAAGTTAAGTTCGATATTAGTCATCTACAAAACAAGATCCAATTAATAATTTACTCACTGTTTTACGTTGAATGGCATCATCATTGTATATACAAAGATATATAGTACATGCACTTTGTTTCATATCTGTCAATTCTTGCCTCCTACGGCAAACATTATATTTGATATGTCCCAAGTTTGTAACAATTAGTATGAGCACTTTCCCTGTGGCCCAACAATGTTACCATGCCACCTAAAAGTTGTCCGCTCAAAGGTTATCTTAAATTTATCTGGTTAAGGCCATCAGTAGTATGGTTCAAAGAGATTGGAACATTAAAATCCAACATTCAAAGAGATTGGAACATTAACATCCAACATGTGCACAGGGAAAGAAATTTTGCAGTCGATCATTTGGCGAATTTGGCTGCATCATATCCGATTGGGCTACAGCGTGTTTCTTCTCCTCTTCTAGGGTTGGGCGTTTGTTAGACCATGATATCATTGGGGTGTCGTACAGAGTCCTAGCCTAGGCAATTGGCCTCCTTCATTGAACCGAAAAAAAAAAATAAAAAAAAAATTACCTTATTGGTTAAGAGTGCCAAGTCCTTCCATAGCTAGATACACTTACTATCCTAGTAAAACTCTATTACCTCTTTTACCAGGACTTAGTAGGTCCTTAGGTCGTCTTCCTGACTCTGCAACCCTGATAAGATGATCATACGACCTATCACCTATGTTATGACTTCCAAAACGCCTCCTTTGACCGAGCTCTAGGATGAGCCAAGCTCGCTAGCTCGTAAACTAAGTTGACCAGTACCTCAATTATGAGCTCCTTGACAGGATCAACTCCTACTGCCGAGGTAGAAGCTATACTGGACTGGTTGAGTCTGAGCTTATCATTCTGATCGGGCCGCCAAACTAGTATGTGGATGCCATATCAAGAAGTATGTTAGAATGGATGAATATATTGAGTATATTTGTATTTATCAGACTAGTCTATTCCCATTTTTTATTGGCCTCATCGAAAAATGAGGGCTCATCCACTATTGTATTCGTGCATATTTCAAATTGTCACCTCCAAATTTATAAATTTGAGAGTTGGAACGTATTTTGAATATAAGCGACTGAAAATTAAATGGACAATAAGAGAATGAAGGTTACTGGCATTAAAAAAAATAAAAAAATATTATTAGGTTCTGCATTTGGAGCTCTAGATATTATTCTTTTAGTCCAATGCTCAACTCTACGATCAACAAAATACCCGCTATAGTTTGATATTCTCTTATCCAACTCTACATAACAAAGTCCCCTCGTGCCTGCTGTAGCAAATAGGATACCGCATGCCAATCACGCCAATGGTAAACAGATTCAGGAAGCTAGAGTCGAACAAAAACGGTCTACGCAAAAATTGTACATAGCTTTTTGAAAAGTAAAGTTTAAACTAGTGAAAACCTAATCTCATACATAGCATCCGGCCCAGGGCACCAGTAAACATATGTATATACTTAATGCAACTACATTTACAGCTCATCTACAGGATAAGAAAAGTGAATTCATTGCAACAAAGGACATATCCTAAATTCCTACTAAGACATAAACTGTATGATCCTCAGTTTCATGCAAAAAACTTGGGTAAAAATTGCATCATTTTTCACTCAAATAGGTGCATCTGAATTTTTTTCGTTGTTCAGTGACGAAAGAAAATAGAAGCTTCAGTCGTCATCAGCTTCCACCTGTCACTGGTTAAACTGCTGATTTTGTGGAAGGAACAATCTGGAAAGAAACATAATTATCAGGATTAAGCGATAATGTAACTGATCTTTTGCACGTTCAGGAAAAAATGTCGAATCAAATAAACTTGAGGTATTACTTGGTCCTGAAGAGAACTCTCTGCTAAAGCGGTCCTCATCCTTTTTGCCCGAGGCTCAAAATTTGATGCACTTTGAGTGCCTTCATCTGAAAAATTCTGCCCAGTACCCTCTGTGAAAAACAAAAAATCTGAAAGGGTAAATACATCTGACATGGTAAATAATGTGTTCTATAATGTTAAAGAACACTAAGTATTATATTTAATAAACTATAATAATTGAGAACGATGCATCTCTCGCTAATGCTTAAATCACATTTAGTTGAATAGGCATTGAATTACTACACGTAAATGGGAAAGAGTATATACAGTTTCCCTGTTGCTTTTCATATTACCCAAGCAGTTCAAAAATATAAGTAAAATGCTAATATCTGATTATGTGCATTCATTAAGCAGTATCAACCCATGCACCGCTCCTTTCACTTTTCAAATCCTTTTCATTTTAAGGCTGTAAATATAGGATATGAGTCCACTTATGGAATGTAAACCAATCAAAGTTATTTTCAACATACAATGGTAATTGGTAACTATGAGCCTAGATTCTTAACAGATAAAATAAATATTCGTCCCGTCATCCCTATAGATTATCTACATCTGATTTTAATAAATTCCTTTTGAAGTGTCCGAAAAAGGCATTTTGGAACTTTGCAAGTTCTAAACACAGTTGAACGAGAACATAGATTACAAGTAAAGTATTTTCCGGATTCATTTCTAAAACAATATCAATGTGATGTTTGCCTCCAAAACGCACCACGTGACATTTATTTACATAAAGTCAAGGATTTATGGGACAGTAACATCGTACTAACTCAGATCATTTAAGTCACGGGACAGTCAAAATGGCAAAGGATCAAAGGAAGACAAGAAACATGAATATCTCAGGTTCTTGTAAATGCCCCAGAGGACCCACAAGCAAAAAATATAAGAAAGCATGAAGTGTTACGTGCTTTCCCATTATACTTCTGGAAATGAATGGCAAATACTTCTATGCACTCAAATTCTTAAAAAAAATGTCAATACAGTAAATGCAAAAACTCACTTCAGCAAGAGAGAAGTCATGCAGAGTTTCAAAAGTTTCATTTCCTTCCTCTAAGGCAGAATTTAGAAAGTATAAAATAACACCAATCAACAAGGTTGAGCTAAATCACCTTTCTGTAGGTCAAATAAATCCCCAAGGTATGGATCACTGGAGGAACATTCCTGTGAAAATGTCATTAATCTATGAGATTTTGTCCCTTCGACGTGTTTCAGTGCAGTCCAACCCTCGAGAGAATCAGCCATTTTAGCTGATGGCAGACAGAAATTGTTGCGCATGTGCTTGAAATTGTAAACCTGTTTACTCTTAAGAGAGGTGAGCAAATCAGCAGGAGAACTACCAGAAAGAGGCTCACCCTTGACGTGGTTAATCTTTTGCCAGCAGCCCTTCTGTAAAACCTTAAACTGCCAAAGACAAAATACTGAATTTCATTTTACGATTTATGTAGTTAGGACGTGCGATAAGGAAATGAATAAAGGGCTTCAAATGCATTGTTCACCTGTTCAGGAGCATTTTTCACGTGAGTTAACCATTTATGTGATATATTCGAGTCTCCCTGGTTCTGATCTGAGCACTGTGCTTCTAAAGCCTTTGAGTAATGGAGCTGTTTAACAAATGACAATTCCAAATGGTGGAGATACAAATTGTGCTTCTCATTCGTCCATGCGGTGCCATCAACCTGCAGTAAGAAATGTGAAGATAAACCTTCAACACAGATACAAGATTTTACCCTTTTATTTTAATTATAGAAAAAAGAAAAAAAAAATATTATCGGGCAAGTTAGTAAGTTTTACAAAAACACTAATAATCAAGTTATATCAGGGACACGTTCCTAAGGAAGTTCTATACGCTAGATTTAACAAGAGGCCTTTAGTAGAAGGGCTTCAATGTCAAATTCATACAAAGGCAGTGATAACTGTATGATCAAGTCATAAAGCACGAACTGTCTGTGGCTTCAATTCAAGAAAAGCGCCAAAATACTGCCATATAAAAGCTTTCGATTTAAATTCTACTAGCCATTGCTGAGATAACGACAATGCCTCACCCACATAAAATCAAATTACTCGCTAATGCTCCTCGTAATTTACTGGCTCACAAAAAATCACCATGTTGTTGGTCTTTCTTCCAATAAACTATAGTGCGCTAGGTAATTATGAAGACGGACATTGTGCAACATTATACAGTTTCCTCGAGAAGCTTCCCTTAATGACTATGCAGTAAACAGAACCTGAAAAACATCCAGAAAAGATCGCTTCAACATGAACAGTTAATAAAGGCCTTCCTAATTCCGCTCATCATTTACAGAATTAATTTCAGTTCTAACTTATACAGAGCTTTACTTCCACATGCATAGTCGATAACCATGTTGTAGTAATTTAACCACAAACACACTTGATACTCGCGATACGTCTTATTTCCATATCACATCAACACCATTATCCTTCATAAGACACAATACTGGAATATAGACAAACCTGCCACAAAAAAACTACTTAATCCAACAATTCATCATCACAGAGTTCTCCCTCTTCCTCAGTTTAGAGTCAAAAAACACCTCTTACGCTTTGTCCTTTTAACACTGAGATCTGAGAGCAACAAGTGCATATAAAATCTCAAGAACCACAGGAAAACCGTAGATTAACTACTCGCCAGTTTCATCAAATTTTACCTACATATCTCAGAAACCAAAAACGCAATAAAAAATGGATCTCATACAATCAGATTACACAAAAACACCGCATCCTCACAGCTTCACAACAAAGGCAAAGCCGGAAAACGAAAAACAGAACAACGTTACTAATCAGTGCGCGATTCAAAGTAAAATCCAGAACTGGAGAAAAGAGCTTACCGGCGTCGTATCCGACGAGATGCGAACAACAGCTCTGCAATTCTCTCCAGACAGAGACGACGCATCCGACCTCGAGCGATTCAACTCACCGTCGCAACCTACGTCCGCCTCCTGCGGCGGCGGCCGATGCGGAGTCTCCGGCCGCAAACCTCCTTCCATAAGGATGTGTACGAGAACACGGATTGCGCTGATTGAATCGAAAACGAACAATCTGAAGATAACAAAACAAAAATCAATTAAGAAATGGAGAAAACCCTCCGGAAGGATGATTTCGCGTTAGAGAGAGAGAGAGAGAGAGAGAGGGGGGGACGGCGAAGAGAAATAAAGTGAGGCGGAGGCTCCACATGGTAGCGCTTTTTACACGTGTCAGTAACGGCGGTTGGTGCCACGTCAGATGGCGTCGATAATATCTTCCGCCCACGCGAGCTAGATATTTTTGTGTTTTGTTTTCTTTTCCTACCACCAGCGCGTTTGTGTCACGCGCCAAGCCTTTTCTCGCATTCTATTTGTTGGAGGCGGCGTGAAAATATCTCGCGCCAGATGGATAAGGGCTGGACACATGGACCCATCACCCTCTTTTTGCTGTCTTAATAAATAAATTAAATGAAATGAAATTGATTGAAATTAAAATGGATAATAAATTAATCATTTTACAATTACTTTGTTAATTAACTTATTACTAGCATTTAACAATATTAAAATGTCAAAATTCAACTAAAGGTATGTTTTGGTAAAATATATATATATAATTGCTGGCATGTAGCATTTAATAAAACCTATTTAATAAAATCTCTAAAAAAATTTCTCCATTTTCGCTTACAAATTTTGTCATTAATATTTTTTACTTCTCACATTAATACATCTTAATGAGTGTAATCATGTATGTTTCTATTATATTATATAATAGTTATTACTAATATATAATTCACATTAAATATAAATTACATAATTATAAACAATTGTTTCAAGTTATGTATTTTAACATCAATATTATCTTTTTCTTTTGTATCTCATAAAAAAATTTCTTTAAAAACAATTAGTAAATTGTTTTAATACTAGCATAGTTAAATAACTTTAGAATCTTATAAACAATTGTTTTTTAATAATATGTATATATATACATACATATATATATATAATTGCTAGCTTAGCATTTAGTTGTACCTATTTAATAAAACCTCTTTAATTTTCCCTATTTTGAGTTACAAAATTTATTATTAATATTTTTTTACTTCTCACATGAACACATCCTATTAAGTATAATCATGTATTTTTCTATTATATTATATAACAGTTATTGCTAATACCAACTAATAATAATTTGTAATAAATATAAATTACATAGTTATAAACAATTGTTTCAAGTTATGTATATTAACATCAATATTATCTTTTTCTTTTGTATCTCATGATAAATTTTCTTTAAAAACAATTAGTAAATTCTTTTAATAGCATAGTCAAACAACTTTAGAAGATTATAAACAATTATTTTTTAATAATAATAATAATAATTATCAAACTATTATTGTCTAATGATAATAAACAATTGTTCATAATAATAAAATCGTTAATTTATTTTTTCTTTTTGAAAATGTAACATATTCATTATCTATAATTTTAATATCAAATTCTCAAATTTTATTTACTAATATTTTATGTACATTTGTGCATGTGCACAGGGTATCTACTAGTAGGGTTGTAAACGAATCGAATCAAAGCGAATACCCAGAGATTCGATTCGATTCGTTTAAAATATTCGAAGATTCGATTCGTGATTCGATTCGATAACGAATTCATTTTTTGATTCGTATTCGATTCGTTTAAAATATTCGAACATATTCGATTCGATTCGAAATTCGTTTTCAAAAATATTATAATTAAAAAATATTATAATTACAAAAATAAATTTATTTTTCATATACTTTTAGAAAATGTTGTCAATTTATGATGTTTTTACTTTTTATATGTCATAAAAATATTAGGAATATAACAATATATATATACATATATTATAAACAAAATGTATATTATATATAATTTGTATAAAAATATTATAATTACAAAAATAAATTTTATTTTTCATATATTTTTAGAAAAATTTGTTAATTTATGATGTTTTTACTTTTTATGTCATAAAAATATTAGGAATGTAACAATATATATATATACATATATTATAAACAAAATGTATATTATGTATAATTTGTAAAATTTATATAATTATTGTTAACGAATCGAATATTCGAATTTCGAATCGAATATCTACACATTCGAATTCGAATTCGTTATAATTTCGAATCTAAAACATCATTCGAATTCGAATTCGAATTCGAATATTTCGAATTCGAATCACGAATATCGAATTCGAATCACGAATCGAATCAAAAATATTTGATTTGTTTACAACCCTATCTACTAGTTCAGTTTAAAAGGTAGGTTATAGCTGATAAGTTAATTGGTAATTCATAAATTAATTATAATTTATCATTGATAGCTGAAAAACTAGTTGATATAATAAACATGTTTGATAAATGTGGTTAATAAGTGAATTGAAATAAAAATTTTGACGAAGTAT